TGCATACGTGCTCATGCATGTGTATACACAAATGTGATGCCATGGTGCTCATGTAGATGTCAGAAGTGGGGAGACAGTTCTTTCTCTCTACCATATAGTTCCCAGGAATTGCACTCAGGTTTTTGGGTTTGGAGACAGTGTCTTTGCCTACTGTCTTCGTTACTTTTCTACTGCTTTGACAAAGCACCATGACCAAGCCAACTTATAAAAGAAAGGTTTAATTTGGGACTCACAGTTCCAGAGGGTAGTAGAATCCAAAACATGGCAGGCAACAAGCAGGCAGGCAGGCATGGCAGCAAGCAGTAGCTGAGAGCTTACATGTGAGCCACAAGCACAAAACAGATAAAAAGACTGGGCCTGGCATGAGCTTTTGAAACCTCAAAGCCTACTGCAGTGACAAAACACTCATACACAAAATGAAATGAATCTGTTTTTAAAAAGATGAAGAAAAACAGGGTCTGTCAGAATTTGATGGATTGTAATGTGTATCTTACTTTAAATACTTAGAAAATACCCCAAAAATGTATAGGAAAGAGACTGGTAAATTATTTTCTTTTCGAGTTTTTTGAGACAGGGTTTTTCTGTGGCTTTGGAGGCTCCTGGAACTAGCTCTTATAGACCAGGGTAGTCTCAAACTCAAGAGATCCGCCTGCCTCTGCTTCCTCAGCACTGGGATCAAAGGTGTGTGCCACCACCTCCCAGCTTATTATTTTCTTTTTTTAATATTTATTTTTATTATTTTTAATAGATATTTTTATGGGGATGCGTGTGTGTGCACATGCATAAATGCAGGTGCTTTTAGAGGCTAGAAACCTCAAGTCATCTGGAGCTCGAGTTACAGGTGCCAGTGAGCCACCTGATGTGGGTGCTGTTAACTGAACTCGGGTCCTTTGGAAGAGTAGGAAGTGCCCTTGACTGCTGAGTCATCTCTCCAGCCTCAATTATTTTCATTATTAATATTTCTGCATTACTAATATTTGTTGGTTAATCTTTTTCAATGAGCTGTGATTACCCAAACTGACATCAGGTAAAGGTGTTATAAGCATAATTTGTGCATTAAACAGTAATCTTGAAGTTCTGTTCTAGTAGAAGTTGTCTCCTTTACGTGTTCTTGAGAGATCTAACTACATTTCTCTTTCCTTGTCACAGGAAAAGGAGACCATTAACAAGTGCATTGCAGATCTAAAACTGCTTGCAAAGAAGGCTCAAGCTCAGTCAGTTATGTGAATGTATCTATCTCAGTTGAGATGGCCAGAGAGAGTTAAACAGGCACTAGTCCGTGTGAAGAACTCTTCTGTATTGCTGTCTATTGAAATTATAATGTACCTTTCCTGAGAAATGATCAAGATTCATATAGTGAGTGACTTCACCCTATTGGCCAGTCAGGTATTTCTGATCCTTGCTGTATGTCTGGAATTGGCTAGTGATCACTTTTGAATAAGTAATTTGCAGCAACTTGCTGCCCAACTAAAATTACCAAGTTACAGTTTAAACTTATAATTAGTTATACCATCTTACAATAAAATGACATTTGAAACAATGTGTAAGTTTTATACTCTGAAATAGCACTTTATTTATTATGAGTAATAATATGTGATTAAAACTGTCTTTGAGAGCTAGAGATGGCTCAGTGGGTAAAGGGTTCTTGCCATGCATTCATGAGGACCTGACTTCAGATGCCCAGAACCATGTAAGAGCTGGGTACAGTAACACACCCCTGTAATCTCAGCACTTCTGTGAAGAAGATGAGAAGCAGAGACAGGAGAATCCCCAGAAGCTTGAGGACCAGGATGGTATACACAGCAGCAAACAGGATGCAAGGCAAGATAGACACCAGAGTTGTCTTCTGGCTTCCACACATGTACACACAAACCCACATGTACATACATATATATGGAGAAATTTAAAGTTGTCATTGAACTAATTAATATGAGATGTTCTGGGAGAGACATAATACTAAATAAAGAACCACAAAAGAATACTATTGTTTCATTCAGACTGGCCTGCCATCAGAGGGGTCATACAAACACCTTTCTCATTCTCACACCAGGACCCTGGGGAAGACACGGCGGACATGCTTGCTAAATGGTGAGGCTCCTTTGGGAGTCAAGTCCAATGTCAAAGTTACAGAGTGACTAATGGGTGGAACAGACTCTGCACTAAGGGGAACTGAAGGGAGAGCATCTCCAGCAGAGGTAGTATGTGTATTCCTAATTCCCAGTAGATGTTGAAACTCAGTACCAGAACCTAAGGAGAAAAATCTTTAAAAAATAAATAAATAAATAAAACCTGGGATTTTTTCCTAATCATTCAGGCCCAGTATAAAGTTTAATTTATATAGCAGGCACAATAAGATATTAGCATCCAAATAGAATAACATACTGTAATAAACATTATTTTTAAAAATACCAGTATTTAGAGCCGGGCATTGGTGGCGCACGCCTTTAATCCCAGCACTCGGGAGGCAGAGGCAGGCGGATCTCTGTGAGTTCGAGGCCAGCCTGGTCTCCAAAGCGAGGGCCTGGACAGGCTCCAAAGCTACACAGAGAAACCCTGTCTTGAAAAACCAAAAAAAAAAAAAAAAGAAAATACCAGTATTCAAAGAGGTTAATCAGGAATGGCAGGGGGAAACTAGATGATAGGTACATATATTTGGTGTGGATTTAATCCCCTCAGGGTCTCATGGATGTCCTGTAATGAATTACAATAGTATGTGGAGAAGTTTCCTTAACCAACTCCACAGTCTTCCTCTCCTAAATACTACAATTCCTCCAAATCCCACCCTAAGAATTTTACACGTTTTACCTTGATAGTACCCAGGCCCACAGTTTCTATCATGTGTATACAGATGGCTTCCTTGACTATATCACAAACTTAATCAGGATGGCGAGTGTACAAAATTTCCCCAAATTTAAGCAGTTTATCATGAAAGAATCTTGTGTATGTTTGGGTGACTCCAAAGAAACTGTCCTCCACATAGAGAACTCAGATCTACTTTTAGACCTGTGTCAGTCTCACTAGCTCATCACAGCCTCCTTAAGAGCCCCATGAAAGGAGCAGTCAGAGCAAGTCATGCATCAACAGTTACATCTTTCATCCACTGGCCAGGATTTGTCAGGTAGCAGTACCTAACCACAAGGGATGCTCCATCTCAAAAAGAGAGAAATGATTAGCACTGAGGAATAGTTTAGTCTTAGGTTTTATGTGTGTTTTTAGAGTGCTGATTTGAGTCCCCAACTTTAGACCTACTAAATAAATGTACTACTGAGCTCCATCCCAGATTCCTGAACTCTATCTACCATACAAATCAGGATGTTTCCTGAGTTCCAGATCTGTGTACCCAACTGCTCTCCCAATCTTTTTGAGTGTTCATAAGCACCCCAAATTCAAAGTTAAACTCATCATTCATGCACAATTCTACATTCATTCTTACATGTCCACAGTATTGGTCAGTGGATAGATACAGTACGGAAGACTTCCTCTCACAACTGGCTGGATGTATCAGATGTCTGCCCTACTATTTTTCTATAGTCATGGACTATGTTCAGACCACATGTAAGGTAAGGACTCCCGTACTGTCCTGTAACACACCACTCACCCTACACATTCTGTAAACTCAAAAGTAACCATGTCACTCCTGGGTGGTCTCTCCATTGCCTACAAGGTGGCATTGGTTAAAGGTCCACCAGGTGTTTATTATCCTTACTCTGTTTTCCTTTTCTGACCTCCAAACCTAGCCCCTATATGGTGATATATTATTTATGATTTAATAAAGTTTGCCTCAGGGTTCAGGATGCAAAGCCAGCCACACTAGTTCGCTATAGAAGCTAGGCAGTGGTGGCACACCCTTTTAATTCCAGGACTCAGGAGACAGGTAGATGGATCTCTCTGTGAGTCCAAGGCCACCCAAAGCTACACAAGATGGAACCAGTCTAAAAGAGAATTAGAGCTCATGCCTTTAATGCCAGCCCTAGAGAGGTATATAAAAGACAGGAGCCCATTGTCTTAGGCTGCATTCTGAGATTAGTCTCAAGCCATGTAGAGGAGAGGCAGCAGTCTGAGACTTAGAGAGCTCCTGGAGATCAACCCTTACAGCCTGAGGTAGAGGTAAGAACTAGTGTGGGGCTGCTTTGCTTTTCTGATCTTCAGCTTGAAGCTTGAACACCAATACCAGTCTCTGGGTTTTTATTTTTCATGTTACACCTATGCTGTTGCTCCTACCCCCAGCTATGGTGAAACACTGGAATATCTCTAGGCATGGCTGTGGTGATTTGAATGAGAATGGCCCCCATGGCTTATATATTTAAATGCTTGGTGTACCTAGTTGGTGGGACTGTTTGAGAAGGATTAGGTATAGCATTGTTGAAAGATGTGTGTCATTGGGAGTAGACTTAAAGGTTTCAAAAGCCCAGGCGAGACTCAGCCTTGCTCTGTCTCTCTCTACCTGCAACTTTCAAATCATGTATGCTCTCAGCTACTGTTCCAGCACCATGCCTCCCTAGCTGTCTGCTGCTATGCTCCCCGACAAGATGGTCATGGACTAACCCTCCAAAACTGTAAGCAAGCCCCCAATTAAATGCTTTCTTTTAAAAGTTGCCTTGGCCATGATGTCTCCTTACAGCAATAGAATAGTAACTAAAACAATGGCCAATATGAAGATTGTATTTTGAAAAGCAAATTATGGTTTTGAAAGTAAAATGCAACTTGAACATTTCCTTCTCTGAAGCTTCTTTCTACAGTACTCTTGTAAGTAGCCTGGCCTTTTTTTTTTTTTTTTTTTTCCCTACGGGGGAAGGGGAGAGTCCAATCCATAGTGTATAAATCTATAACAGCATCTACATCATTCTGTTTTACATGAACAATCTGGAACACTGTTTTGTAGAATAAAGATGTCTATCCATAAGATTGCAAAATACCTAGTCAAGGACTATGTCATACTCATTGTTTTCTCTACCACCTAACAGACTAGGTCCGTGTATATGTTTAATACATGCTTGATTACATAGTTATCACTCTTTAAGTCTTAAATTTCCACTGTTCCCTTTTGGGCTCTTAGTCTTGCCATTTACTGCTATCTTTGGTCATCTATGTTTTTATCCTTGTTTCTGCTGCCGCTCTCTAAATGCCTCTCAAATCTCTTTGTCTACTGCTGCCACCCTAGTCCCCATTGTCCTCAAATGAGTTCCTGCAGGAATCCCACTGGCTTATTCATGCCTGTCCTGGCTGCTTTCCAATCTGTTCTCCTCTCCTCAATTTTAGTGATTGTTTCAGAATGCAAACCTGCTGTTCCTTAAACCCCTAATATACATATACCCATTTCTCTTACTATACAGACAAAAGCTCCAAGGGATTGTCCTTTCTTGCTTCTTCAACTTCATTCATTCATTCTTTGGCCTTTGATCGTCCTATTCTCCTTCCTGACAGTTCTCAGATGGTCTGTTATCTGAACATTCCCTCCTCCTATTCTGGAACTACAACTCTCACTTCAGGCAGTATCACTGTTTTCCTCAGAGAATCTTCCCTGTGTTATAGACACATGTAAAGGACTCTGTCCCATCACAATGCATGGAATCATTTTCTTCCTGTATACTAACATCGTCAATTTTTGCCCACTTTCATATCCTCAATTTAGAACAGCGCATGGTGTGGGCTGGAGAGATAATTAGTGGATAAAGGTACATGTCAGCCTGTCCCTGTGATCCACAAGATGGAAGAAGAAAACTAACTCCCACAGGCTGTCCTCTGACCTTAACACACATGTCGTGGTACATGTATGCACACATACAAATAAGGGCTTAAATAAATCAATGTCTAAACCATTTAAAGGAGTGACAGAGTCAATGTTCAATAAGTCAATGAGTGGATAAAAATAACTCATAGCCACTGAGATCCAAAAGCCTGAATGACCATTGACTCATTCTATGTTTTAATCCCCATGTACTCCAATCACCGATATATAAACACTTGTGGTTTTCTCCCATTCCTTTTGCCTGCATCTTTACTAGATGATCTCTGCTCATTTCCTTGTCTCTCCATCCACAGCTTTTATATGATGCGGTATAACCGTCCTCAAAGACTGTATTTTCATGTTGTATCCCAATCAAAACACTTCCATGCAGGAGGGAGGGCCTTGCAATCCCTCAGCCCTACCTGAGGAGAGCTATTGATAATTGATAGCTTCCGGGGAAGGAGAGTCAGTCTTCTTTAGGGGTGTAGCCCCTAGTAAGTTGACCATGCTCCGGTGGACTGCCCCATACCCATGAGAATATGAGCAACACAAATTAGACTAGATGAGTTACTTTTTTTAAAAAAAGGACATGAACTTGGGAAGGAGTGGGTTAGAGTTAAGAGCAGTGATCAAAAATATGTTGTATGAATGTATATAATTCTCAACCAGAATATTTTAAAACTCTTGGGCTGCAGAAATGTCTCAGCAGTAAAAAGCACCTACTACTATTGCAGGGGACACAGGTTCAGTTCCTAGCACCCATATGGCAGCTCACTATTGTGCATAACCCCAGTTCCAGGGGATCTCCATGGGCAACAGCTATACATGTGGTACACAGACATTTATGCAGACAAAACATCTATCCACATACAAAAAATTTAATCTTCCATACATTTTTATTTTATAAACTTTAAATACAGTCGCATAGCAAGCACATGATGGCAACATTAGTTCACATGTATTACATAGTCCCATAGATTTTAAGGAGACTGAAATTTTCCATCATCCAGTGACATTGGCTGTGGTAATGCCATGCTTCAGAGCATGGCTTACATGTTTGCAGTGATGTCAGGGTAAACAAACCTACTGCAAAAATATAGCACATAGAGCTGACAGTGCCCAAGACTTGAAAAATAATAAAATGCCTTATGACACTGTAGCTTTGCCCAGACTGTACTCCTACTTAGAAAGTTTACTCTAGAATAATGTACTGTTCTATGCTGGTAGCAACCTCATTCATCTCATGTTTATCAAATCAGTCCCCACCTCCTCTAAGAAAACGTCTGGCTTGGAGGTTTTCCTGTCTCAGCCTCCTGAGTACAGAATTCACAGATACCTCCCCACACACGGCTAATCTACTCTCTTGATTGCATCTGAAAGCTGTATGGTGTGGCTGATATACCATCTAGGTTTGTATGAGTACAGTCTCATCTTCATACAATGAAACCTAATGACTGCATACATCTTGATGGAATTTAAAGATGTCTGTGCTCTGGCTCTATAGCCCATCTGTGTTTACTCTTTAGTGTCTCCCCTGCTACCAGTGCCCACTCCTGAACCATCCCGAGATCCCCCAAATTCACGGCCTAATCCCAACCACCAATTCTTGACTGGTCTATGGCATCTATCTGATGAGTGAGTTTCGTCATATTCTTTTACTAATAAATGCTTATAAATAAATGAATCTCCTTGCCCCCTAAAAAGGGGTTTTAATGCTCTGAACACACTTGAGTTCTCAGCCTGTTGTTTAATTTTGACATTTAACTCTTCATTCTTCTATGTCAGTGTCATCTCGTTCATCAGACCTGATGCAATTACAAAGTCTTTGATGATGGTGATGATGTCATGCTAGTGTCAGTAGCTTCAGTGAGGCTAAATAATAAACTCTTCCCTCGAAACGAACTTTTCCTCTGTGTTCTGGCATTCATGTGTGAAAGTGTATGCAAGCAACTCTCATGGCTAGATCGGTAGAGTGCTTGCCAGCATGTGTGAAGATCTGAGTTTTACCCAGCACCACATATACCACACATGGTGCTGCGTGCTGTAACCCTGGCATTCAGGATGTGGAGGCAGGAGGAGCCAAAGGTCACTGTCTGTCATCCATAGCAGTTAAAGGCTAGCTGGTCTCTGTGAGAAGAGACCTATTCTAAAGGGAGAGAAGCCAGGGAATGGAAAAAAAGTATCATTGGCTTCAAAGAGGAAGTCTGCGGTGTGGAGCTTAAACATATCTTTGCGACACAGCTTGATGGTGACAGTAGCAGTGGGAGTAAACCTTGTTTCACAATTTCTGAAAAAACTAGGAAGAGAAGCAAGTACCAAGTTTCATCTTTGACAACTGCATCTTAGGACTGGAGCTTTTCTGGAAAGGTAAATTAAAGACCCTTCTAATCCAGACTAAGTCATGGCTCATCAAAGGACATTTTAAATGTTTATTTGGTGGTTTCTGATGTGTTTTTCTTATTTGGTGGGGGAAGGATTGCATTTGAATGACTGTGTGCCACAGGTCTCATAGGTAAGTCTCCTGTGCCAGATCTAACTGCAAACAGAATTGTTTCTGGTTCAGCTTTCTGCTTCTGTCTCATGTCTGGATTATTGTTGTTTTCTTTGGGAATTAAAAATGTGTGTGTGTCTGTGTGTATACATATCAAGAACAACTTTCAAGTAAGTTCTTTTCTTTCACCTAGGGATCTAGGAATTGAACTTGGGGTTCTAGAGTTGTGGGGCGTGTGCCTTTATTTGCTGAGCTATCTCACTGGCCCTTATTTTGGTGGGTTGTTTTTGTTGCTGTTTCGAGACAAAGACTCACTATGTAGCCCTGACTGCCCTAGAACTCAGGCTGTCCTAGATCTGCCTGCCTCTGCCAAAAGCTAGGATTAAAGATGTGAGCCCACCATTCCAGGCTTCTTTGGGATTTTTGAGACAGATCCTGTGTAATCCAGACTAGCCTTGACCTCTTGGCAGTTCTCCTGCCTCAACCTCTCAAATGCTGGGATTACGATTGTGTGCCACCACCCCGGCTAGATTGCTGTTTTTGTCACCTGGATTTATAAGTAGGTGTTGTGCGATGATTTAGTCTGTGAGGGTAGGGTGGCCTAAGTTTTTATGTGATAATACTTATCTGGGTTGCCTGTTCATACAGAACCACTGCTGCAAAAGAGGAAGGCGTCAGTAGCTCTGAATGTAAGATCTAGTGGAAATCCACACTCCTCAGGAAGAATACATTTCAATATTATAAATATATATTTATAGAAGTTATATAAAAATAGTATAATAAATACAATAAGATATGCTAATACTTTATGAAGTTCTGAAATGAATACCATTGACTTGTTTTAATTTTATTTTATTTTGAGACAGGGTCTCACTATACAGCCCTAACTGTCCTGTAACTTACTCTGTAGATCATGCTGACCTTGAACTCACAGACATCCATTTGTCACTGCCTCCCAAGTTCTGGGCTTTAAAGCATGGCCAACATAAATTTCAAAAAGAACCAAAGACTGATAGAGAAATCATTATTCCTGCTGATTCGGCATGGACTATGGTCTTCCTGTTTTCATAGTCAGACTTTTCACCACTTTCCTTTTGTTCTGACAGTGACAGATATGAAAATGCTTGCTGAATGGTGAGGTGCATTACAACTTTGCCTTACTACTGTTTTAATGACACTTGGGGACAGAAATCCTTCTCAAAGTCTTCCGCCATATCTAAGGATTGGGAAAAGTCACTTATAAGAGCTCACGGATTAAAACATGCAAACCATTTATGGCATTTTCTGTCTAAGTAAATTGTCTTAAAATTCAGCAGAAATTAGAGAGACCCCCAAATTTTTTTTATCATGGGTTTGCCTAAATATTTATTAAAATTGTTGCCACCAAAAAGTAATCAAGTTTGTAACTAAACTTTTATACATAAAAAGCACCTTTTTCACTGGTAGTTATTAAACACATTGGCAAACATTTGTATAAAGAGGGAACTATTAAGAAAGCCCATCTGTGCCCAATAGCATTCTATCACATGGGTTTGCTTGCCACAGTTTCAGTTCTTTCTGGTCACCTATGATTTGAAAATATGAACGGGAAATTTCCATAAGTAAACAACCCTGTGTTTTAAATAGATTTTATCATAATATAGTGCTGCGATTACTATGTTTTATTTTAGTTTTGTAGCCAATCCCTCTCTGTAATGCTTTCTGAAGTAAACTTCACAGGTATGGCATGTGCACTGGCTAAGTGTGTGTGTCAACTTAATACAAGCTAGAGTCATCAGAGAGGAAGGAGCCTCAGTAGAGGAAATTCCTCCATGAGATCTAGCTATAAGGCATTTTCTCATTTAGTGATCAATAGGGGAGGCCCCAGCCCATGGTAAGTGGTACCATCTTGGCTATTGGTCCTGAGTCTATAAGAAGGTAGATTGAGCAAGCCATGGAGAGCAAGCCAGTGAGCAGCACTCCTTCATGGCCTCTGCATCAGCTCCAGCCTCCAGTTTTCCTGCCCTGTTTGAGTTCCTATCCTGACTTCCTTCAGTGATGAACAGCAATGTGGAAGTGTAAACCAATTAAAACCTTTTCTCTCCAACATGCTTTTGGGTGATGGTGTTTTGTCAAAGCAATTGAAACCCTAACTAAGACAGCAAGCATAAGAAAAAGCATGGTTTATACTGTACAGGTTTGGGGACTGTCCTTGGTCTTTGACACCTACATAACATCTTACAAAGTATCTCCCACAAATGGGGGGGGGCGCGGGAGTACTGCAGCAGAAAGGACTAGCACCACTAAAAAATGTTCTACAGGATTTTAGAAGTAAGAATGAACATAAAATGTTGAGCAAAAAAAGAGATCTGGCCTTCTATGGGAAACAGTGTTCAGGCAGCTTTAATAAAGCACATAATGTATGGCTAAAAGGAATTCACCCAGCTAGCAGTGAGCTCTAGGAACACCTTCCTGCCTTTAGATGCGTTATAGTTTCTGAGTCTTGCCTAGATGTAATGCCTTGCACCACACATTTGTCTTGTGCCCATAGAGGCCTGGAAGGGGTGTCTGATCCCTTGGAATCAGAGTTACAGATGGTTGTGAGCTGCCATGTGAGTGCTGGGATTTATACCTGGGTCTTCTGGAAGAACAGTAGCAAATGGTCTTCACTGAGCCATCTCTCCAACCTCATCTTTGCATTCATTTTGATAATACCTAGAGACTGTTCAAGGACATGCATGCATGCATGTCTGAAAAGCCACTGTATATCTCAAAGATTAAAGAAGCACCATATGTCATTCAGTGTTACAATGAAGGAGTCACCAGGTATGCGAAAGCCACACAGTGGTACTGGGTTGGTGGCCCCCAAAATGCTGGATTTTTGTGTGATTGGTTGATACTGATTGATTGATTGATTGATTGATTGATTGATTGAGACTGGGTTGTTCTTATTTTGATATCTTATTTATTTTTATGTATGTGCACGCAGTACTGGTGCAGGCCCAAAGATATGTCAGATCCTCTGGAACTGGAGTTACAGCTGTGAACTGGACCCTTGTCCACTAGAAGAGCACCAAGTGCTCTTAACCACTGATCCATCATCTCTCCACCCCCTTACTTTTGTTTGCTTGTTTGCTTGCTTACTTTGTTTATGATAGGGTCTCAGATGTTACCTGGGTTAACTTGGCATTTACTGCATAGTCAAGGTTGACTTTGAACTCGAGATCTTTCCTACCACCTCCCCTACTACCATCTCCCCAGAGACATATTCCACCACACCCAGCTGCTGCATATCCCTCCAAGCATAGAGAGTGATGCTAGGCTGAAAGGTTCAGATGTAGCTTCTTTGTCCATTGGACATGTCCAGATGAACAAAGCACCAAAGATGCACCACTGTACCTCCATGGTGGGATTAGCTACACCCCAGTGTGAATGCACTGCTGTGCCCAGCCTCTGCACCCAGCTAAAGAGTACCTGTTTTATTCTTAGGAGAAGACAGCATGGGATCTGCTTCCTCTACATCTAAAGCCCAAATCAGTGAGTTCGGAACAGAAATCATTGCTTCCCTTGAATTGGTAAAAGAAGGAATTGTGTTGAAAGCCCCATGGGGGGCAGTGTTGGCTAGAGCATTTCTGAGCTAGAAGAATTCAAGTTTACATAGTACAGAAGCCAGTGCCCCCCAAGGAATAGAAAAGCAGACCAGACTGGCCCTCCAAACTGAGTAGATCAGCTGGTAGTTTATGAAAATCTAGTCATGTTTCTGGTTCCCCTCCCTGTGGGTTAGGCACTGGAAAAGACACACGCACACACACCATATGGGAGACAGGTGTCATGAGTTTGGGAAGTACCTACTGAGGTCAAAGGACCCACATCTTGCCAGGGCTTCCCACTATGTCCTGAGGGAAACACAGAATATTTATTTTGCTTGCATAAGGGACACGGAGCTTCAACACTAGCCACTGCTTCTTTAGTTTGTATACCAGTTCAAGTACATCTCACCTTAAAGGTCTCAATCAGACAGGGTGTATCTCAGTGGTGGAGGGCTTGCCCAGCACTGGCAAAAAAAGATCCCTGCTCTCCCCTCTACAGAGTTGTAGCCAATTTGTGAGTCCACACGGGTAGAGGAGGTACTTGCGGTCTTATCCTGGAGGGATGGCAGGAAAAGAGCAGGGACACTGATCCCCCAAAACTGATCCCTCTCATGTTCTCTGCAGGCACAGTCTCCACGACAGCCCCAGTGACCAGCTCTGTACCGTGTTTCTCCAGCCCTAAGTAAAGGAACACATTTTATCTAAGCCATGTGGCACTGGATTTTTTGTTGACCATTTTGTCTTGGGAACTTAGGAAGGGCAATCTGAGTGGGAAAAGAGACCAGTAACAGTGTTTGATCTTAGGATTATAATTCTGCTCTTTTGTTTGCATGGCACCGGGGGTGGGGGGAATGGGAGGGGTGAGCATGTCTCACAGCGTAGTCCAGGCTGGCCTCCAACTTGCCACAATCTTCCTGCCTCAGCTTCCCACATGCTGGGTTGTAAGCGATATGAACTCAGCATTGCCCAAGATGTAAGAGATCTTGAGTCCCCTGAACTTGAGTGTTGATGTGTGGAGTGATGAGGACAGGATTGGGAGAGTCTCAAATGCCTCTGGAACCTACAAGCAGTGTCTCTTCCCAAGCAGTGAGTGGGAGCAAGTCCATCAACCTATGTGATAGCCTAAGTAAGAAAGCTAAGCTTGACTTCCAGGAAAGGTTCCAAGAGACCTCTGCCAGTGGTTCATCTACTCCCTTTCTCTGCCAAACAGACAGGAATATTTAATCTTGGCCTTTTTTGCTGGGGTTCTGCTGACACTGCTACTCGTGGCCCTTATCTTCATCATTGTCAAGAGCTGCAGAAAAAGTAAGTGGTCTCTGTTGTTTTGTTTTGGTTTTTGGTTTCTTGAGATAGGGTTTCTCTGTAGCTTTGGAGGCTGTCCTGGAACTCACTTTGTAGAGCAGGCTGGTCTCGAACTCACCGAGATCCGCCTGCCTCTGCCTCCTGAGTGCTGGGATTAAAGGCGTGCACCAGCAACGCCTGGCTCTGTTAGACTTTTCTTGCTGTCACTGAGAACATGAGCAATGAGTGATGGGGAAGTGGAGAGAAGGCCTACTGTGCTCGGCCCACCCTCTCCACAGATCCACCTTGAGGCCCTTCCCTGCGCTTCCTCATCGCTCTCCCCCTGCAGCCCTACCTAACTTTCACCCAAAGTTGAGGGGAGAGGCTCCCCACTCCTTCAGACCCCATAGGGAGAGGACAACCGTCTTCTTCCTGGCATCTGCTGCAGGTTACTCCAAGTCCCAGGCCCAGTACCCTCTCTCAGAGCCTCCCATCAAGGTAAGCCCATGCTGTAAGAGGGAAATTGAGTGTGATGAAAGTGGCATAAAATTATTTGGGGGCGGGGGTTGTTTTAGTCTGTGTCCTCTACATACTGAGTTACTGTCTGGAATACTGGTGTCACTTTCTGGCTCTGGACAAGCGACTCTAGTGTGAGTTCTTCTGGTCTCTTTGGGTCCCCACTTACCAAAGCTTTCAAGACACTTTTAACGAGACACCCCTTACTGCATATTAAATTCGCTCTTCCTCCTCTTTCTCCTCAGAAGCTTTCATCTGTCTCAAAGGAGTCACTTACCTATGCCATCATGACTTTCAAGCCCTCAGAAGCAAACAGCAGTGACTTGACTGGAAACGACTCCACAGGCTTGGACCCCACTGTCTATTCTCAGATTAAAGTGGCAGGCCCATCCCTGCCTCTCCAATGAGGCAGAACACAGGACCTCCACTCAGCTTCAGTTACATGTTGCTTTCTGGCTTTGTTTTGTACGTTTGCTTTTGTTGTTTGTTTCCTACAAACTTAGAAGCACAGTCTATGTACAACTGCAGTCAAAGGTGTGTAGGCTTGATCTAGTAGTGCTGTCATCCATTTTAAAAAACCAATGGTTAATTACTTTTCCTACCAGAGAAAAGGCTGCTAGTGCATTCACTCCATTTGGCAGTAGCAGCCTCTTGAACAACTCCCTTGAACTTTCCAAAAAGGGACAGAGTTCGAGATAAAGAAACTCACTGATGATAACCAGGGAAGAGCCAACCCTAATGAACAGTCTAAGATTTTCAAATAATGGCAAACTCTCCTCCAGTGTTGGCCTTTTCTTCATCAGTTATCACTGTGTCCCATTATCTTCTCCCAAAGTCAAGACCAGAGGTCTAAGCAACACAAAGTCCATATTGTATAGAACACTAGTCAAATGTGGGTTTCAGTCTCCCCAATATAACATTAGAGATGTGTATGACAACCTTGGTTGTGAGACAAAGGTAAAGATTAAGCATGTTCATTTACCCTCAAAACAAAGGGACACTCATATAGACTGCCCCATTAAAAATAACAGGAAGGTTCTTTTTAATTTGGCAAGAATATTCTGAAATATAAGTATTAAAGGAGAAGAAAAATTATAAAATAAACATGAGGGCTGGTGAGGTAGATAAGGACATTTGCTACCAAATCTGACAACTTGAATTCAATCCCTGGGACTTATATGGTCAACACAGAGAACTGACTCCTGAAAGTTGTCATCTAACCTTTACATTACTCTGTGGTAGGTGTACATGCCAGTGTACAAACACAAGCACAGACACACACACACACACACACACACACACACACACACACACACACACACACACACACACTAAATATGCACTCAGCTGTTGTGAGAGCATTCTTAAGATTTATTTATTTTTATTTTACATATACGGTACTCTACCTGCATGTACACCTGCATACCAGAAGAGGGCAACAGATCCCATTGTAGATGGTTGTGAGCCACCATGTAGATGCTGGGAATTGAACTCAGGACTTCTGGAAGAGCAGCCAATGCTTTTAACCATTGAGCCATCTCTCCAACCTGTGACAGCATTCTTAAGGCCTGTGCAAGCCCTAGCATGGAGAGGGGAGTTGGGCACACAATCCTACCCCTAGCTGAAGAACAACTAGCAATTATTAGCTGCTGGTAAACAAATAGTTTTCTCTAAGAGTTTAGTCCTTGGTAAGTTGACCGTGAATAAATTCAATACCTAGCCACTGGACAAGACTAGGATTGGTCAGGAGCAGGTGGACGGGTGTCTTTTGGTGTTTGAGACTCAAAAAGAGAAAGGCTACAAGGAAATATGCAAGTATGATGTTCATAGCCTTACCGTTTCCCTTGAGCTGCTAAGCTTGGAGTCCCTCCCAAATAAAGGAGTCAGGACAGAACCTCAACTATTCTTATCTAAGGCTTCGTGAGAGCCACAATCTAATCTGACAAGATACATAGAGAATCTGGTCAACACCCAGTCTCCATTCCAACCCTGTGCAAACCAGGGGACCACTTGAGGATTCTAAGGCTGGACCTACACCCCATCAGAAGGATCCATGGCATATTAAACTGTGTTCTTCTGAAGCTAGGGAAATGCCACACAGGAACAAAAACCTGCTTTGATCCCAAGAACTCATGAAAAAACATGGGGCATGGTAGGGCATGCTTATCATCCTAACCTTGGAGAGGCAGGCACTGGAGGATCCCTGGCTCTCATTGTTTATCTAGCCTAGCTTAATCAGCAAGCTCCAGGCCAATGAGAGACCCAGTTTCATACAAGGTGGACAGCCCCTGAGGAGTGACATCTGAGGTCATCCTCCAGCCTCCATATGTGCAAGTGTACACATGAATGTACACGTCCCCCACAGAATATCAGGGCTCTTATGAGGGCAGCAAAGGTCATGATGAAACAGCGTGAGTGACACCATATGGGGAGAGGGTTGCAGGTTGCAGGGAAGCCCATAGGGCGGTGGTAATCCTGCACCAACAATGATGTAACTCTATTTGCTCCCACGGATGCTGATGCCTCATTCTTGCTTTGTGCTTCCTTATTTGTATGCATTTGTCACTTCTCATCCCTTGGTTGCTCACTGGTCAGAAGCAGCATCCAATTACTCTGGTGATGTTTCTATTGAGGAAGTGTTTTTGGGGGCCATGATCCTTTCACCAAGAGACTATGAGAACCACAGATTCAATCCTGTTTTTGGATATAACAGCATTTAATGCCAATTCAGAGATGTACTGGAATGTTATGCTTTTTAGGGACATTTCAATAAATATTTTTCCAGTGATGGTCTAGGAGAAGTTAGTCATACTTGAGGACTCTTTCAATACTATTCAGATATTTATTGACTGATAAACAAAATACAAGTCATTTCCCCTTATCCCAGATTCTGTACCTCTTCTTCACTCCATCTAATCTAATGCTAAGGTCTGGAGATGTTATTCAATGGCAGCCTTGCTTGGTGTGGTCTTTCATAGCTCTTCTGACCACCACTGTTGTCACCTTGCCACAAAAGATTGCTTCAAGGTCAGAGAGTCCTTTAGAAATCCAGAAAGGTCAGAATCATTCTCTGAGGTGCAGGCTAGTTGTCATGGAGATTCAACTGTAACCACATCACTTTATTTGGGAACTAAATGAAAGACATCTTCAGTCACGTGTTCAGTTTGAGCCATTTCCTTGAGTCAGGACATGTGGGAAGAACTTCAAATCTTTGCTTACTTTGGTGGGAAATAGAAAAGAAAAACTGAGTTGGGGGCTCTTACCAGAGTGTCAGCAAAAAGTCACAAACCTCACTTTTTTTGAGCCTATTTTCCTCTCTTCTAAATTAAAGATTACATTCCCATACACCCCAAGAATTTTTTTTAAACAAATCTAAGTATCCCTTCACATTTCCCAAAGCTTCCACATGGCAAAGGCAAAGGCAAAGGCACTCCTGGGCTTCCTGGGAACAAAACACCCAAGTTTGGATTTTAAAAATTGATTTATTCTGTCTTTCTCTCTCTCTCTCTCTCTCTCTCTCTCTCTCTCTCTCTCTCTCTCTCTCTCTGTGTGTGTGTGTGTGTGCGTGTGTGTATGGAGTAGAGGATACACAAGTGCTGTGCATACCACAGCAGCACACCTGTGGAAGTCAGAGGACAACTTGCGGCAATTGGTTCTCTTTCTGCCATGCTAAGCCATCTTACCAGTCCTAAAAAGACTAAAGTTTGTTTTCAGGACTGGCATCATCCCTGCAAGACTTGTCAGTCAGCTGTAGGCAAAATGGGCACCTGGAGCTTGCACTTCTCTCCCAGTTTTGATGGTATGAATGCATCTGGAATGCAGGGCCCAAGAATAACAAAACTAAAAGGGACTTTACTTCAAACTGCTGTGTTTCCCCAAGCATGAGGCTGTGTCTCAGATGGGTTGTGGGCTTCTTGCTGAAGAGAACAGCATTAGATCCTATTGTCTCATCTTTTATAGCATCATGTCACCGTCACTTATTTTACTTGACAAGTTCACATTTGTGTTTATGTGTGGCTGCTTGTATTCCTCCACCTCACCACACCACATTATTTTAGTGACAGATTCTCACTCTGTAGTGTAGGCAGGGCTAGAACCCACTAGTTCAAGCTGACCTGGAACTCGAGATCCTTCTGCCTCAGTTTCTGGGTGCAACACGGCTGCCCAGGTGTTTTCCTATTTTATGCCGTAAGCCCCATGAAGACAGATGCTAGCTCTTTTGCTTGTCTTTGTACCCCCAGCAACTAGCATGCTCCTAGTTTGCAAAATGAAGGATTCATGGGTGGGTAGGTGGGTGGGACATGGGTGGATGGATGGATAGAAAACTCAGAAGAGTATAGGAACAGGGTGGGGAATGAAGAGGGGAAAATGGGCTTGGGAAAGAAAAGTGTTGCCATGGGTTGTATCTTAAAGAAGTGATGATAAGTTCCTGAAAAGAAAATTACAAACTACAATTGTATCCTAGAGGGAGTAAAACCAGACAAGCCCTGCGATGTGTTGCTTTGTCCGCATCCCTCACCTCCATTGTTCCCAAAGCTTGTAGATGGCAAAAAGGCAAGAATGCTGCGGGAGCTGCTCCTTTACAGTTTACAGGAGCTCACTCTGCATCTGCAGGGGACCCAAACAGCACAGTTGCAGCTGGAATCCCTGTAGCCTTGTTTTCGTATTTCAGCTCCCGCCGGCCCTGGCCCCTTGTGTGTCACTATCAGGTCTTCCAGCTTAGGATCCTACTGGGATTTGGTGAGTGTTGGATTTCTGTTCTTAGGTTTTGGTTTGTTTGCTTTATTTTAATCATTATTTCTCTAAAATGTTGTTTTTTCTTTGTTTCGAAACCCAGGCAGGGTGACTGGAATCCATTTTGTAATTACAGCTACAGTCTCTTCACTGCCGAAAGTGTTTCCTTGGTTTCTGATCATAAAAAGGCAAAAGCTAACAGTATCACCTTGGCCAAACAGATGTGCTCATGGTGTTCTTTCAGTTCTGCAAATGCTTCAGAACTTAGCAGAACCACCCTATGGTGACCTAGAGTACTTTCCAGATAGTAGGACCTGCCTGTGTCACAGGGAAAGGCAAGCGATCGCGCAGTCCCCTCTCTATGAATGGGGAGACAAAAAGATGGGGTTCTGGGGGGGCATCTCAGGACTCTTTACTGAAGAATAAAGGCAGGAACTTACCAAGGGTATGGAGACCACAGAAGGAGCCTTGCTTGGCTGGGAACTTCTAGCAATGCTTTTACCAGTAACTATCCAAGAAAAAACAAAGACACAAAGCTAAGGGCTGAGGTTCCTGAGCCCACCCATCCCACACAGACCCCTTGCAAGAAGACCTTTTTTACACATGCTGGTGAGGGGGGGTTACAGAGGCTCCATCATTTGACATGAGCCTTGGCATCATCCCTACAGGAGAACAAAATGTTTCAAACTAAAATAAAGCTATTAGGCTATTGCCCAAAGCTTGTATGTTGGGAAGGTAAGTAGCCCTACAGATACAGAACCTGCAGTGTGGTTATTTCTTGCTTCCCTAATCCCTGCCTGTGCACCTACTTTCACTCAGGACTACAGTGTTCCTTCAGTCACCTCTCATGATACCATTGTCATTATGAGGGGGCATTATATCCGCCTCAGCCTGTGGGCTGACTAGCTGCCTTACCTAAGTGACTAGGCATTAATAGGAGGGTCGCATTCATTCATGTGAGAGATACTTCTTGACCTTTACACTCTCTAATTCCCTCTACACTGTCTAACTCCCCCACCCCGGGGTTACTTACCTCCTCTATTCCTTTGGCTTCTCCTTCCCCTGGACAAATGACTGATTATAAAGATGATGCCCAAACCAGTAATCAGTATGCAAATGATCAGAATGGACATTCTAGAAGAAATCACATCACATACAGGGTCCTTCGGTTTCCTTCTCACAGCATCACTTTCACCCCAGCTCCTAACAACTACATCCTATACGAGTCACTCTGTCCTTTGTATGAGTAACTTATGGGCATCTAAAGGAGCCTTTTGTCAGAAATGAAATGGGGACTAGAAACGGAAAGCTACAGTCTTCGGCCATTCCTTTGAATGTGGAAGAAACAAATTGGGCAAAGATAAATGGGTGTCACCTGCTGTGTCAAAAAGAAAAAGAAAGAGGGAGGGAGAGGGGGAAGGAGACACAGAAGAAATACAAGCTGGTGGGGGGATATAGCTCAATTGGTAGAGGGCTTGTAAACTGGGTGTGGTAGCACGCAAGAGGATTCTGGGAAATGTAGTAGAGAAGTGGTGATTCAGGTAGGAAGTGACATAGCAAGGAGACTCATATTTAAGCGAAGGAGAAACAGGAAGGGTCTATTTTTCTGTCCACTCCTGCTCCAGTGGTACAATGTGATCCACCGGCAAAGTGGGACTCCAATAAGGCATCCTATAAGATAAGTCTTATAAAATATATAGGATTATGATAATTAAGACTGAGCTAGCAGATGAGAAATCCTAGTCATTGGCAAAGAAGATGTCAAAAAGAAAAAGAAAGAGGGAGGGAGAGGGGGAAGGAGACACAGAAGAAATACAAGCTGGTGGGGGGATATAGCTCAATTGGTAGAGGGCTTGTAAACTGGGTGTGGTAGCACGCACACCTGTAATCCCATTCATTGCTCAGGAGGAGGAGGCAGGGCAACAAAGGTTTAAGTCTAAGGTCAACACTCAGATACACAGCAACTTGGGGGTAACTTTTTCAGACCCTATTAATGGGGGAAGTGCTTCTGTGTAAGCGTTTGTCTTATTGGATGATAAATAAAATACTGTTTGGCCAATGAGGCAGCCAGTTAGGCAGGACTAGGAGTCAAGAAGGATTCTGGGAAATGTAGTAAAGAAGTGGATCCAGGCAGGAAGTGACATAGCAGAGAGACTCATATATAAGCAAGGGCAAGAATGAAGTTGTTTCCCTTTTCTCTTGCTCTTCCTCCTGGTCTCTGCTCTGGAGTCACCATGTGAACCGCTGGCAAAAGAGGGCGCCAGCAGAAGGCATCCTCGATAAGATAAATATTATAAAATATGTAGATTTATGATAATTAAGACTGAGCTAGCAGATGAGAAATCCTAGTCATTGGCAAAGAAGAATTTGTACCTAATATAAGTCTCTTTGTGTTACTTGGGACCTTAACAAGGCAGCGTGAGGAACTTGGGTGGCCTGGCAGAAAGTGCCCACATGGCGGCAGGGTTTGGGTGGCTTTGGCAGAAAGACTTATTGTTACACCCTATCTTAAAACAAAACAAATAGGGGCCTAGAGAAAAGCTCAGAGGTTAGGTTCCCAACACTCACATTGCAGCCCATAAATATTATTAGCTCCAGTTCCAGAGGAACAGGATCCCTTTTCTGAACTCTACAGGCACCAGGCACTAATGTGGTGTGTATACAAGTAGGCAGGAGTGACATCAGAAGAAAAGGAAGCAAACACACTTGAGAATATCAGATGAAAATGGAACTAGAGATAAAGATAACGTCCCGCTGAGTTTGCCTGCATCCCTGCCTCTACATTCAAACACCTCTCTCCCCCTACAATAATGTCACCTTTAAAATTAAAGCAACTAAGCCAGGTGGTAGTCCTGCACACCTTTAATCCCAGCACTTGGGAAGCAGAGGCAGGCAAATCTCTGTGAGTTTGAGGCCAACCTGGTCTACAGAGTGAGTTCCAGGACAGTAATAAATAAATAAATATGTAAATTGATTAAAGCAACTAGAAGCTGTTTTCTGCTGCTTTCAAACAAATATGGTCATTTTAAAGAAACCAAGCCATTACAATGAAGAAGATACTTAGTTTAGGCAGAGAAACAATACACAGTTGAAAAGTAGAAGGTGTAAACCAGTCACTAATGCGTTGTGGTTTATCCCACCCTACCCCACCCACTGACACCCCATCACCTCCTCAGATCCCTACTCACCTGGAGCCCTCTGCCTTTTGGAAAACTTTGGAAGTCCTACAGCTCCGGTTCCTGTTCCCTGAAGGGTCTGAATCACAAAAGAATTGTTGAGAATAAAGCCCATCTTGGGGCCCTTCCTTTGGCTCCAGCTGCATCCCCTGTCTTTCTCTTCCTCTCCAGAGAGTAAGTGCATTGTTGGCTTTTTGTGTAAGACAATGACAACAAGGCTAACGGTTGTATGAACGTGCCTTGAACAGGGGCAAGGCTGGGGAGAGAAATCCCACCCACAGTGCACCTGCTAAGTCATATAACCTGCCACTGGGTCCTCTGCACTCAGAGGAAAGGACACCTTTGCCAGATTTGCACAAAGACCCTGTGCAGTCTAGAATCAGTTCGTGATTAGAGACTCAAGCTAGGGTCACTCCCAAGGAGGAAAAGTCTTGGTGTATCAAATATCCAGTCCCATCCTTAGGGAATTGGTCAATCTGTGACATAGTTCCTCTGACAGCTACTAGCAGTCCATAGGAGAGGCCCACATTGCCTCTTCTGTGTTCCTTTAATCTGGGTAAGACTCCTTCTTCTCAAGAAATATTATAAAAAGCAGAAGCACACAAAGCGGAAACACAGCCAGTGTAGAGTTACCCACTTAGTGGGATGCTAGCTGCAGTGGTTACCAGTAGACCAAATGTGAGCCAGGCTCTCCTCAGCACGAGAACTGGAGAGGTGGGGTGGATGTGGGGCTTCCCACAAGTCCTTCTATTGTGTTTTCCTCCTGTCATTGGGCTCCAGACAGTGACAGAAAAACACATTGCTTTTCTAAATGGAACAATGGGAGAACGGGTAGTGTCTTCCACAGTTCCCCCACCTGAAATACGGGGGGCTTCCTGGTGCTGAAGAGTTTTCCAGGCTCCAGAGAAGGAGCCTGTGAACATCGGGAGATCTCAAGACTTAGCTCCAGCTCAAAGTCCCAGTCTGGCCTTGGCAGACTTTGCCCACTAATTCCAGTCCCTTCCAGTAGCCTACAAGGGTTAACTGCATCCACATGAGTAAAGATGGGTGCTGGCAATTTTGATTTATTTAATTTATATCAATTACTGAACTTTTTAAGCTGCCCAGTTTCAAGAAGCCTGGGTCTCTTTTTGTAGCCCAGTCACTTATCGAGGCAATCTCCATGGTTCTAGACCTGGGAGGCTGAAGATTTCACTGTAGCCTCAAAGCCTGTACGATTACTACAAAGGTCACACTCCTATGAGAGCTTCCAGGCTCTTCCAAAATCTGTGAGCAGGACTACTGTGAGGAAAGGGGAGTAACAAGCACACCTAGGACTCAGACGCTCTACTTTCCTACAAAAATCTACCTAACCCCCAGCCCCACCATACTAAGTGGGATCAAGAGCAGGTTACTTCGAATTACACAAGAGGAGTTGGTGGCCACTACCTTCAGTGAGGTGTTTTTGGCTTTTGTTTTGAGACAGGGTCTCACTTTGTAGCTCTGCCTGGCTTGGAACTCACTATGTAGAGCAGGCTGGCCTCAAATACCCAGAGATCTGCCCACCTTTTCCTTCTGAGTGCTGGGATTAAAAGTGTGGACCTGGACCCTTCAGTGAACTTTTACTACCTCAGCAAACACCCATTCCCCTTCAAAGATCCCTTGCCAGTCTCTTTACCAGGCGAAAACCCATTGGCCCGGCTGTTTCTGTTGTCAGTCACAATCAGCTGTGTGAAATCCATGTCATCTCTGGCAAAGTTCCGCTGGATGCCACACCAGTACCAGCCTGTGTCCTCCTTGACCAGGCAGGACACAGTTATGATGAGTTTGCTTCCTGTGTCCTTCAGGACCACCCGGTTGGTGCTGTTAGGGGTGAAGGCGATAATGTTGCACGAGTCCCTGAAATAGCCCCGGCACCAGTACTTGGTGTGGTCCTTGTAGTGGGCATCGTAGTTACAGTTAGCAGAAACTGTGTCCAGCTCAACGCCTGACTTCACCTTTTCATCCATGACCACACACACACACACAGAAAGAGAGAGAGAGAGAGAGAGAGAGAGAGAGAGAGAGAGAGAGAGAGAGAGATTTCATTATTCTTGGAAACATACTGAACTTCCTGGGCTCCTGAAGGATACTTAATTGGAATTTGGGTTTTGTCCATTTTAATTTGGTCATGATTATGGGCTAAATTGCCTCCTTCACATGTTGAAACCTTAATCCCTATAAAGAATGTGGACACAAGAGAGACCTTTAAGAAGAAATCAAGTTAAAATTAATCATTAGGGTGGCTCTTTCAAAAAGCTTTTTAAGATTTTTTGTTTTATTTTATGTGTGTAAGTGTTTTCTTTGCATGTATATACGGGCACCACTTGTATATAAGTGCACTATGTATGCCTGGAGCCTGGAGGTCAGAAACAGATGTCAGATCTCCTGGAACTGAAATTACAGGTGTTTTCTAGGTACCTGATGAGACATCTCTCAGCCCCCATTTGGGTAGTACTGAATCCATATGGCTACTGTCCTTATTCAAAATTTAAAAAGCAGATGAAGTTAGGCTAAACCATGTGAAGACAGGAAGGCAGCCATTTTCAAACCAGAAAGTCCCCAGAATGGCATCAGTTCTGAAGAAACCTTTATTTGGGGATTTATGAGAGCTAATCTTGATGTCCACTTGATTAGATTTGGAGATGCTTAGATTAATCAAACATATCTCTGGGTGTTTCTATGTGGGTGTTTTCAGAGAAAATTAACTAAGGGAAAAAGACCTCCCCTGAATTTAGGCAGCTTTAATTCGAGTGCTTAGATCCCACAACCGCCGAAGTCTTTTCTCCTAGCCCGAGCATGTGTGAGATGTGAACATAATGAGCCTTGAAGAACATGAGATTTCTTTTGCCATCTAGCGCCTTAGCTCTGCCTCTAGCTCCCTACCTTAAGTTGGCAGTCAGTAAAAGGAAGCGAAAGGTTAGGAAGCTTGCTCTGGCTGCAAAGGACTAAAAATAAAGGGAATCGTGATTTTAGGAGCTGAGAACTTGCCATACAAGACCAGTGCGGGCATCTTTATCATGTCAGGATATTTCATAATGAGGAAGTCACACATGCAACATCCGGCTTTACCGTGGCTGGGAAAATATCTGACCAGAGAGGAGAGATGGACAGCAGAGTCCATCACTCTCAGCCTTCCAAATGTATGTTACTCAACCCCACCCCAGCACAAGAGGTTGCTTCCAGTGTGTCTTACAGGAGATAACACATTCCTCCAGTAAATGTCAGTTTCTTCTCATCACAACCACACAAGAAGGTCTTGTGATCCTCAGTTCCTAGACAAGGATGCTGACCCACAGAGAGCAGCAATAGGTCTAAAGGCAGCACAACTGAGAGGTGGCACAGCTTGGGGCAAGTCCCATTTCTGAGTACCATCTTTGGTGTCAGGCTTAGGCAGAATGGAGGTAAGCATGGCTGCCTGTATTTATGCAAACATGTAAAGGAGAAAAGGAAAAGGGAAGGAGATTGGGGACACTGGGAAAACAAAAACCAAAACACCACAGAGCTCCAATTTTGGGCAAGGGTCTCAAGTTCCCCACAACTCCCTTATCAGAGGTAAGGACCTAGGATCTCTTAGTAGGACCTGTTAACAAGACTTATCTTCACCTCCTCTCATTTCCCTATCCTACAGCTAGGTGCTTTAAACGGTTAAACTAAGCAGGGCCTTTAAGTAGAGCTGCCTCAGAAGGTTTAGAGGGCAGAGGTGCTCCTTCCCTACAGCTTACCTGAAAAGAGAGCCAAGGAGAGCAGAATGAAGCGCTCCATGATGAAAAGGAAGTAAACTTCAGCTGGAATGGTAAGAACAGAGGATCTCAGGGACTCTGGATCTGCATGAGGGAAACATATGTTTGAATTTATGGTGTTTTTATCCTATGTGAAGGGATAACCACCAGTTATTCTAAGCAATGCTGCTGTGCGGAGCCAGCCAGGTTCTGTCCTGTGCAATGGGAACTCACTGGAAGGATATCATTGGTGAATAAAATATTATCTTTGCAGCAACTGAAAATCTGAACCTCCCAGCAGAGCCCAGAGCAACAAAAGAACCCTCTCCTTGATTATACCCACTTGGCATAACACTTTATAGATACCCAGAAGATGGATACACGTCACCACCAGCACAGGTTCATGTGAGCCTGTCTTGACATGGCCATGCATCTTGTCCCTCCATTATTCTTAGAGGTTCAGTGTCTATTTAGATTGGAGGAATCCCTACAGAGAAATCCTTAGTAAGTTGAGTCTGAAACTACAGTGAAGACCAAGAGAGTGTGGTTAGAGCTGGAGCATGCCGGCTGCCAGAAGAATATACATCTGCTAGAATACATGAGTATAGCTGTCAGCATCCAGGAGCAGAGGCTTCTGATTCTGGGAAACTTTTCTTAATAGAGCTGGGACACATCAAGGGATCTTTCCATGCAGTAGCAGCAGCAGCTTCTCCCAATTCCTGACGGATACATGTGTTCTGACCACTAGCTTTGGAAGTTTAAGTTCTTGACCCATCTTAAATTCTCAAATTTAAGCTGGGTGCTCCTTATTACACTCTAGAGATAGCACTTCCCTTCAAGGGCCAGATGGAGATGGCTTTTCTACATTGTGCAATAGCATCCTTTCTTGAGAAAATGGGAGCCTTCCTCTAATTCACAGGGATTCAGCATGTGCACCTGCATCGAGCTTGCATTACGACGGGGCTTTTACCTACATTTCATTACCTACTCCTCATTGGTGATCTCCCTTTCAACCAACAAAATGTGTGGACACAAAAGAAACTAGGAAGGAGATCAATAGGTTAAATGAAGTTGAGTGAGATGTATTGGCAATAGATAATATGAGAAACTCATTACAGTGTCTACATAGTTGATGCTGTTAGTTGTTCCTTTTGTTTTAGGTGTATTAATAGTATCATCACAGCCTCTCTGTTGCTATAGCCAAAACACTGACCAAAAGCAATTAGGGGGAGAAAAGGGTTTATTTCAGTTTATAGATTACAGTCTCTTGCTGAGGAAAGCAGGGGCAGGAGCGCAAGTCAGGAACTAAAGCAGAGTCTATGTAGGAAAAGCTGCTTACTGGTCTTCTCTTCCTAGCTTGATCATATAGTCCAAGCCCACCTGACTAGGGACAGTACCACCCACACAGTGAACTGGGCCATGATACATCAAGAAAATGCCCTCATAGACTTGCCCACAAGACAACTTGATAGAAGCAATTTCTCAACAGAGATTTCTTATTCTCATATTTCTTATGTCTAGATTTATGTCAAGTTGACAAAAACTAACCAACCACACCAGCCAGGTATACCAGATGTCCCTTGCTATACATGCCTTTATGGAGCCCCTCTGAAGGCAAGTCGGGGCTGTCCTGCACGATAAAATTTGGCAGAAGTATGATGTGTGTCTTTCAAAAGTGGTACAACTTCTGCTGCAGTTTCTTGTACTGCTGGCTTGGGGGAGTGGACCATCATTTTAAGGGGACTAAAACAAACAATGGAAAGGACTCATATGAAACATAGGCAACTCTTGCCAATGTCACCTTGTCACTCATGCCAGAGTCGCCTCGGTAGTGTCCATGATGAGTCTTTCAGATGTCTGGCACAGCAATTTCACGAGACATCATGAACATAAACCATCCAAGAAGATGCCCCTAAATTCCTGGCCCATACATACCAGGAGCAGATAATAGAGGCTTGCTGTCTTATGTTACCCAGAAAATAATAATTCTGATTTTTTTTAGTGCAGTCCTTATCTCTGTCGATACTAGAAGCAAAATCATCAGTGTTGTTCAGAAATGACACTAAATGACCAAAGAAAATGCCATCAGGAATAGAAAAGGCATGCACATGGTTAAGTATCAGCAAAATGCCCAAGATAAGGAAAAGTTACATTATAATGAGAGAACTGGGTGTTGTGGCACACACTATAATTCCAGCACTTTGGAGATGTAAGCAGGAGGATCAGGAGTTCAGGGTCATCTTCTATTAGATATCAAGTTCAAGGCCAGCCTGTACTATGTGAGATTCTGTGTCAAATTAAAAAATCAAATAAATAAAACAAATGAGAAGATAGAGGTCAGTATTAGCTGGTACAAATAATTCTGTTCCCCTCTCTTAAGGATACAATTAAGTGTTGGATTCAGGGAAAGAAAAAGTACATAGGTCCTGACAATAAGCCAAGTAATACTTTACAGAACATATTTTATATAAATTTTTATAGAGGAAATAATTTGAAGTCCAAAATTTCAATATAATCAGGGCAGGGTTAAGTAGATATGGCCATAAATGAAACAAGAGAGACAGTAATCAGGGCAGGGTTAAGTAGATATGGCCATAAATGAAACAAGAGAGACAATAAATCTAAAAATCAATAAATACTAAAACAGGATAATAGTTAAGTGAGAGCTCATTTTCCTAGTCATTCCACTTTATGACTTCTGATTTTGACAAAATAAAAAGTAGCCAAACAGCCAGCCAGGTGTTGGTGGCACACGCCTTTAATACCAGCACTCGGGAGGCAGAGGCAGGCGGGTCTCTGTGAGTTCGAGGCCAGCCTGGTCTCCAGAGGAGTGCCAAGATAGCAACAAGGAAAAACATGTCCAAAAAAAAAAAAAAAAAAAAAAAAAAAAAAAAAAAAAAAGTAGCACAACAAGGCACCAGTAAGATGGCTCAGCCAGTATTGGTGCTTGCTTCATAAGCCTGACTACCCAGAACCACATGGTAAATGGAGAGAACCACCTCCACAAAATTGTCCTCTGACATCCACACAAGTGCCGTCACACATGCCCTCTCTCCCCCTCTTCCTCTCCCTCTCCCTCTCCCCACCTCTCTCTCACACACACACATCCACACATCCACACGAGTGCTGTCACACATGTATACACACACACACACACACACACACACACACAATATTTTTTTAAGAAGCAAAAGGACCCTGACATGAATGTTATTAGTCCCGTGTTACAATGAGAGCAGACACAGGAA